GGGGAGGGAGGCCTCTGGGGTGGGCGAGCGAACGATTGTCCCGGTAGGTTGGGAGGAGGAGAGGGAATGCTGGCTGCTTTGCTTATGTCGAGGGCCCCGACTTTGCGTTGGAGCTCAGCAGGAGGCTTTGGCGTCGCCGAGTATTGCAGGGCGCGATGGTGGTCGTGGTCTGCATGCGGGAGAGAGGCCTTTTCCCGAGGTCAGCGCCCGCCTTCTCTTTCCTTCGCCCTGCTTGTTTTCTGACAACTGCCCGAAGGAGGCAGAGCGTTCCTCTCGCTTCGGGCCCCTAGAATAGCTTCATCTCTTAACCCCTTGACCTCTTAACCCCTTGACCTCTTAAAATGAGCCTGGTCTACGGCGGCGTCCCCCGCAGGTGAATGCTACCGAGTTCGCTCCCAGTTAGAATTGTGGCCCTTCGTTTGAACAATGGCCCCTACGTGGAACTCATTGCTCTTTCAAGACTGCTAGTTTTTAAAATAGAATTTATTGATCCCATTTACGGTGTGTAAATGAGTATACATACATGGACATGTAATCTTTACCACTGCAATCAACCCATTAACCGTATTCAGGTGGGTAGCAGTGTTGGTCTGAAGCAGCAGAACAAAGTTTGGGTCCAGTGGCACCTGTATGACCTGGTAGAATGGAACCTGCCTTAAGCTGCTATGCGGGGAGGGTGGGATATAAATCAAACAAACAAAATGACCAGCAAGGTTTCATTCAAGGCATAAGCTTTTGTGTGCGCATACACTTCCGCAGATACATTGAAGTGGAAATTACCAGTCCATACATATAGATAGAGGGTGAGCAGCAAATTAGCATACAGCATAATAAACGGTGTTTGACAGATGCAAGGACCAAACTGGAATAACAAGCTTGGTCACAGTTTGGGTTTAATTCTGGGGGGAAACACAGTGAAGGAAATAAATATATAAAAATCAGAGACTGATGGGCAGATGTACCCTTCTTAATTGTGAAATATTGAGAGTAATTAACTGAGACCCTGTTATCACGCTCCATCCATCTCCTCTCAAGCATGGAAGCAACAGGGTACATTATCTTCTTTGAGGTGGTGTGATTGGCTATGCAGTGTATCTCCTCTGTCCCCAGACCAGAGAAATACATTCCAATCTACCGTTCAAAATGAATGACCTTCTACTATTCTACTGTTGAGCTGCGGTGGCTCAAGTGGTTAAGACACTGAACTGCAGGCTGTGGAAGGTCAGTAGTTCAGCAGTTCAAGACCCGAGTTGCCGCATGACGGAGTGAGCTCCCGTCTCTAGTTCCAGCTCCTGCCAACCTAGCAGTTCGAAAGCAAGAAATTGCAAGTAGATAAATAGGTACCACTTCGGTGGGAAGGTAACAGCGTTCCGTGCACCTTGGTGTTTAGTCATGCCGGCCACATGACCACGGAAACGTCTTCAGACAGCGCTGGCTCTTCGGCTTTGGAACGGAGATGAGCACTGCAACCCTAGAGTCGGACTCGACTGGCTTTCGAGCAAGGGAACCTTTACCTTTACTATTCATTACATTACAATCTACTATTCCAGTCCACTATTCCAAATACAAAAAAATAAAGAGGATGTACAGCCCTTCTGGGGGACTGGTGAGAATACAGATGTAAGGACTGAATGAGGTTAACATATGTAGTGAGGTAAGCAGGGGTCATTTCCTGCAGGAGCGCAGCTCCCACAGTAACGAGCCCAAGGGGCGGGTACATGCAACAAGCCCCACCCTCTGCTCCCAACAGTCCTCAGTCAGAGCAAGAAGCAGCCAGGTAAGTTGCAGAGCCCACCCACCCCCAGTCCAAAACAGTCCAGTGGCACCTTTAAGTTTTATTCAGGTACAAGCTCTCCCTCCTCTGCGGGGACGGATCTGCACATTTCTCCCCCCCCCCCATAGCCAGCAATCCAAAACAGTCCAGTGGAGCCTGAGTGGTGGGTGTTGCCTTCTGACACACTTCCGGTGATGTCAGGGGGTGTGGTATATGCAAATAAGTTATGCTAATGAGCTCCTGCACCTCTTTTTCTACAAAATGACCCCTGCATAAGACTGATTCATCGCCCTCCTGGTATGAGCTTGGCATACACCAAAATGGAACTGAATCGGAATGGCCAACCCGCCATGAGCCGCAGATATATTTAAATTTAACTAGCTGGAAATTTTAAATTGTTTTGAACTAATGCTTTAATGTATTCTTATCAATGGACTTTATCCATGTATTTTTATCTATGATACGTTGTGAGCCACCCTGAGCCTGCTTGTGGGGTAGGGCGGGATAAAAACAGCATAAATAAATAAAACATAGCAATGTAACGGTGTTGATTTTTATCAACAGTTTAACCAAACAGCAGCATGAAGAAAAAAATAACTTAAAACTAGCATAAATATAACAAAAAGGGAGGTATATAATAAACTTAAAACTAGCATAAATATACCAAAGGGAGATATAAACAACATCTTCAGCATTAAATCCATTTAAAAAAATAGAGCTAATCAAATAAAACAGCACCAACATGGTCCAGATGCTCAAGAGCCAGGCAAATAAAATGGTCTTTACCTGGCCTCTAGAGGTAAATAAAGCAGGCACCTAGCAAGTTTCCATTGCCCAAGTGAGATGTCTCTGGTTGCCACCCACCTCCACTCTGTCGGCAGAACAGGGCTATCTTAACTGGTAGATAGAATTATATGGGAGAAGGTGGCGCCTGGCAACAGTAGGTAGCAGCTGACACTCATATAACATTCAGCACTTAAGGTTTCCAGGGGTACACACTTCAGCTTTTCGGAGTACTTTGTGTACATGATGTAAATCTTATAACAGCCCTTTACGTTTTCCAAGTATTATCATCCCCATTTGATGTTCTGCCCATAAGAAGTGGCCTTACATTAATTCAAACCATTGTTCCCTCAATATCCTCTACCCTGACTGGCAGCAGTTCTCAGGCAGAGAAAAAAAACCTTTTCCTACACCTGCTACCCTGGAGATTGAGTTGTGCTTCTGCCATAAATTGAAATAAATAAATAAAGACCCAGCCCTTCCCTGGGAGAAGATGGACATGCACTGGTTAGGACAAAAAGACAGAAATTAGTACTTAGTTGCTGTAGATTTTCAGGGATGTGTGGCCGTGGTCTTGGCATTGTAGAACCTGACGTTTCGCCAGTAACTGTGACTGGCATCCTCAGAGGTATAACCACAGAAAGATGGAATACTCTCTGTGTCAAGGTGAGAAGAAAATGGCAGGCAGTAAATTTATATCTACTCCAGAAGGTGGGTAGGGCTGAGTCATTGTCTTGTAGGAGTTCCCCAGGCTATGGACATGATAATGGAGGAGCTTTCCTGAGGAGGTTCTTTTGTTTCCTGAGGAGGTTTCCTGCTTCCTGAGGAGGTTGTTGAAATTCTAATCTTATCTGTAGTGCTATTGTCTGATGTAAAGCCTTTTGTGTTTTTCAGGACAGGAAGCCATGTCCTATTTATTTTCAAACTTTCTTCTTTCCTGTTGAAATTATGTTTATGTTTGTGAATTTCAATGGCTTCCCTGTATAATCTGACATGGTAATTGAAAGTGTTGTCCAACCTTTCAGTGTCTTGGAACAAAATACTGTGTCCTGTTTGAGTTAGGCTATGTTCAGCCACTGCTGATTTTTCAGGTTAGCCAAGTCTCCAGTGTCTTTCATGTTCTTTTATTCTTGTCCGAATGCTACACTGTGTGGTTCCGATGTAAACTTGTCCACAACTGCATAGTATGCAGTATACTCCTACAGAAGTGAGGGGGTCTCTTAAGAACATAAGAACATAAGAGATGCCAATGTTGGATCAGGCCAAAGGCCCATCCAGTCCAACACTCTGTATCACACTGTGTCTTTTGCCAATCGTAGCATCTGTTGTATTTTTCTGGTGGGCCTGAATACTGTTTGTAGGTTGTATTTTTTCATAAGTTTTCCCATCTGATCAGTGATTCCTTTGATATATGGCAAATTAGTACCTTGCCTAAAGCCACTGAGTGCTTTCATAGCTGGAGTGAAACTGGGCCTGGAGACTTTTATGACCGTATTCCTCTGGCTTTAAGAGCAACTTGACCCTGAAATTACAACAGGTGAAACAATTGCTTCTGCTTCTCTCCAGGTTTGGCAAATTGCAATGCAGAGATTCTCATGATCCATCCCATATCTTTAATTTCACTGCTGAATCAATGGCAGGCAACTGTGGTTTTTCCTGCCTGTTCCTCCCTTTTGTCCATTTCCTGCTTTTTACCTTAGTCTAGCCATTGGAACAGTCAGGTGTGCAGCACTGTAGTCAGGAAGATCGCAGAAAAGGATGAGGAGGGGATGAAGTTGCTGCTGCTTTCGTATCTCCTGATTAAACTGCAGAGATGAAGGTCCAGGGAGCTCTCTGGGTATCAACATAGACCCTCTTCCTATGGTATGTCCATGCACAGAGAGAGTTGGATATGCTGACATTTGAATGAAAGGTATGGGAGTTGTGCCCATGATAGCATGAATTTGTATGTATTTGGGGTATGTACACATAAAACTGCCTTATCGAGCATCAGTCCATTGGTGCATCAGGGTCCGTGTTGTCTACTTAGACAGGCAGTAGCTCTCTGGTGTCTCAGGTTGAGGTCTTTTGCATTTGGTTTGGTGTAGTGGTTAAGTGTGCGGACTCTAATCTGGGAGAACCGGGTTTGATTCCCCACTCCTCCACTTGCACCTGCTGGATGA